CCCCGCATAGCACCCATGAACCCCCCCCCCCATGCTCCTTACCTGGAACTCCTGCCTCTTTCCACTTAATGATCTGCACATCCTGGAGTTATGATGGGAACCAGGACTGCCAGGATTGCCATCACTAAGTGATGCGGTCACATAATGTTGCTGTTTACAACTGCATCACTTAGCAACAGTAATCCTGGTCCCAATTGCCGTCGTAACCTGAGGACTGCCTGTATCTGGGAAAGTTTTTCCTATTGAGTGTTGATTGTGCTTGATATGACAGATATATTATTGGACAGAGTGCTTTAAAGAGTGAAAAGATAGACACTGATTATTGCTAACTCTTTACATGTTTTTCTTCCTCTATAGCTGCCAATTATGGAAACGGAACTTACTTTGCTGTAAATGCCTGTTATTCTGCCCACAATACCTATTCGAAGCCAGATGCATCTAGGACAAAATATATGTACCTTGCTAGAGTGCTTGTGGGGGAATATTGTGTCGGGTCAAAAGGATTAGTTGTCCCAAACCCAAAAAGTGGGACAGATCCCACTGATCTGTTTGACAGTGTGACTGATGACTTGAGAAGGCCCTCAATTTTTGTAATTTTCAATGATATCCAAGCATATCCAGAGTATCTCATTTCATTCCACCAATCTGTATTATCATAACTTGGTTAGTTGAACTAATAATGCAAAAAATTGAATTATGTATTTGTATGTTTAAAAAAAAACTATGTATGTATGAATGAATAAAATAATACACTATTCAGAAGGTAGGGAACTTTCTTCCTTTTCTATTGAAAATGAGAGTTTAGAAGTTCCAGTTTCTTCAGGATGCTCCAAATGTTATTGATGAACTCAGACAAAATAGATGCAACAAGTTAGGAATTTTACAAGTAACAATACCAGCATGTTAATGAATAGTCAAGAAAAGCAAAATGCAAATGTTAAGGTCAGTACCTTTCACATAGCATAAATCATATTTAGATCTATAAGATAACAATTACAAACAGCAAATACAAAATGCAGAGTTTTTTTAAAAGGGCAACAAAAAAAAAAAGCCTGTAAATGGATCACAGAAAAGTGGGCCAGTTGGGTGGCAGTGATGAAGGGAAGCCTCACATTCAAGTTCACTTTGCCATTGTCATTCAGCTCAGCCTACTTCACAGCGTTGTTGTGAGGATAAAATGGAGATCCTCATGAAAGCCTCCTCAGACACTTGGAGAAAAAATGGGATATAAATCTAAGAAATTAATGGAAACTAAACCAAATGCCTTGAAAAATCCTTTTCCTTCTCTGTCAAAAATGAATTGATTCAAATGCTGGGGTCCATTGCTATAAGTTTGGGTTTGGATTTTGCCTTCCAATATAGACAGTCCTCTACTTACAAGCTTTTGAGTTACGAACTTTAGCCGATACGAACAAACCTGTCTGCAACTCCAACCTAGAAGGTCCTGGAAGGTGAGAGAAGGCAGGAAAGGGTTAGTTTACAGTGCCCCACATACATACGCTTGGCAGCACTGTTGCATATTGGGAGGCATGTTTTCTTTATACTTGGTTCAACTTATGAACAAAATGGACTTACAAACAGCCTATTGTAACGTAACTTGTTTGTAAGTAGAGGACTGTTTGTAAATAATATTAATCTTGGCTCTTCCCCCCCCCCCCAAAGTATCCATAATTCTTTATAAGTTCCAAATCCTGGGGATAGAATCAAAAAAAGCATGTTCATGTTTTATAAGTGGCACTTGCTTTTTATTATTATTAGTCATGTTGATGATTTTCTTCTTTCCAAAGTTGTTTACATTGTTATTTCTATTTGTAAAAGAATGGGATAAAAGCATACAAATAAAATATAAATGCTGTTGTTTTTCCTGCTTGCCACTACAGTGATGGCTGATCTGGTTAAACTAATAAGCAGCAGATCTGAAAACCCAAGAAGCAGGGGAGAGGAGAGATTTCAGCCTTTTCATGTCTAAGAGCTTGAGAATCACAGATCTGGGAATAGTGTCATGCCCATGGGATGTTCCCACATGAAAGCTATACTATCCCTCTGTTCACCTGGAGCTTTTTCAAATCGTGGTGGGTAGCATCTAGTCAACCTTGGAAGCAAAAAAGGCTTGGCCTTATTAGCACTTGGATGATGGACCACCATGTGATTCCAGACTGTTGGCTGGACTGGGAAGTTGAAAAACCATTCTGGAAGAAGGCAGTGGCAAATGACTTTTGAAACACCAAGAAAATGTGGGTGCAGTCCTGTGAGTTGAGTTTGAGTCAAAGGCATCTTTACCTTTTACCTGCTCAATTAGGTGGGATTCTAGCACAGCATAAGTGGTGTGACAAAAAGTCAGATGAGCCTGAAAGATATCCCATTTCCATTTGCTGAAATCTTTACAGTGCATAGTCACTTCTGTGGGGAGAGAAACATTACAGTGGGTTGCAGTCAGATTTACTTGTTGGAGTAGGTATGAAAGTGCCATCTCCTGTAAACAGGCTAGTCATACTGGCAGTTAATTTTAATTTGGTCCATCTTGAGGGCAGCAGTCACTTAGAGAAAGCATAATAAGCCTCAGGTTTCATCACCATCCATTTCCCAAACTGCTGTAGCCCCATCACTTTGCCTAAATATGGAGTCAGATCCATGCAGGATCATTATCTATAATTTGCTGTCCCAAGATGCAGTGACCTTGACTGATCTTGAAAAACAAAGCCAGGATTTGGATGGGAGATTAGCAGGAAATGCCAGGGATATAAGCTAGATTGGGAAATGGGATGGGGGTGGAGAAGCCACAGAAGAAGGCAATACCAAACCCCTTCTGTATTGTCACCAAGAATGAAACCTTCAGGAGTCAAACTTGCCTTCAAGGAAACTTTGATCTATAGTGATGAAATGGAAATACCATTTTTGGAAGTTGCTGGTTCTTTTGGACTCTTTGGATGACTGTAATTGACCACTGCTGGAGGCAGGGTGCCTGCATTAGATGCACCACCCAGTAAAGTGGTCACAAACCCTAGCAGCAACCACTGCAGTGAGCACTCCTGGTAGCATTGGTGAGACCATACTGGAAGTGGTGATAACGCAGCAGAAGAAAACAGGCCTAGCCTTCTGGTTGTACTCTTCCTTTCTTCAACATTAAAGCATTTGCCTGCCCTGTAAAGTATGAAAGTTATTTTGCACCTGCATTAGAAGTTAGGGGAGAAAAATAGGATAGGAGGGGATAATAGTCACAGGGATCCACCAGTTGACCCTGATAACTGCTGTTGGGACAGATCACCTGTGCCAAAGCTAATGAATGGAGCAATTAAGCAATTAGCACCAGGCTAAAATCCAGGAGACTGTGAGTTCCAGTCCCACCTCAGGCATGAAAGCTGGCTGGGTGACTTTGGGCCACTCAGTCTCTCTCAGCCTCACCTCACAGGGTTGTTGTTGAGGGGAAAATAGGAGGAGGAAGGAGTATTAGGTATGTTTGCCGCCTTGAGTTATTTATAAAAATAAAGGCGGATAAAAATCTAAAAAAAACACAACTAGAAAAGTTCTCTAATTAAAAGATCCAGCAAGGCTCTTTGGATTAAGAAATGCTAAATCCCATTAACATCAATCTTGTAAAAAAGACAAGTTGCATGGGCGGGCTCTGATGGTAAGGGCCATGGATATCTCTCTGAGCTCCTTGTGGAAAGGATGGGAAGAATGCAAATATCATAAAGCAAATAGGACTTGAGGACAGGCAATGCTTCATCAGTTGCATTGAACGGACATGTCACCCTGAGTTCTCAGCTATCCTGGCATGGAGATAACCTGCAAGCAGGCTTTCTTGCTCCATTGCAAAAGTGATGTTTAACAACCTGCCCCAGCACAAGTCCACCAGTGCAGTTTCTCTGCTGCACTTGCCTTCCATCTAGGCAACATCTGGACTCTGGAGTTGCTGACACCTCTTCTTCTGGTCACCAGCTGCTGCCCTGTAGAGCCATTTTCAGGATGCCCACATGCAAGGAGAAAAACATGCCTGTGTAAAGCCTGGCCCACACTGGGCTTTGTGAGGCAGGTCTTGGGCACTATGTGGGTTCCTCTTCTACCTCTGATAAGTAGTGCTCTGAAACACTTCTCACACATGCACCCGGTGCGCAAGGAAGAGTTGATCAGAGGGAATGACTGAACTACTAGACTTCTTGTCCCAGGAAACTTCTGGGTTTGGTGACCTGGCGTGCCACGCCCAATTAACACCCAAAGCGGAAATCTCTTTAATAACTTTATTCTGCAGAGTAAAGGGTACCTACAAATTGACTTTTCAAGGCAAGTGCACCAACTTGCAAATCAAAACATCTTTTATACACTTCTAAAACAAAGAACTGCATGATCATTGGCAGATGATAATTATTCACACCCTTGGATGGACGAAACACTCCCAAAAGGCAGGCACTATTGCCCAAGGGTGGGTGCTTGTTGTTGCTAAGGGAAATATGAACTAGGTGGTTTCTTATCTTTCTGCTTGTTAGTGCAGGTGAGTTCCTGTGGGGAGGTATCACCCTACTGGCACTTCTCAGCTCTAACTGATAAGAAATGCTGTATTTAAAGAGAAAAGAATTTGGACGGGTTTGCAACTTAATTATCTGCTCTGTTCCCATCAGCTACTGAAGGTCAGTTCTGGCCATGCATGTTTATGCTGCCATCTTCAAATTAACCCTAAAGTCACCATTACATCAGACTTTTCCTCATCCTTGTCTATTACTGAACCTTTTAAA